ATATAATCTGAAAGATCAATTTTTCTGCTGGTTTCTGTAAATCTTTGAATTGTAAACAACATACCAAAGGCTTTAATTGAAATTCTTCAAATTTTATTAACGTCATGTAAACTTGGCATTGCACGGAAACTACAGTAATGGACCGCTAATCAAAATCTAGTTTTAAATTAATTCCGTCAACTAGCCTAGGAGTTATTATTCAACAAGCATCCAGAGTAGTATTTGAATATTATTTTAAAACGAAATTGCGAGCCGATTAATGATGGTCTGTATTAATAAATGCTTACCATAATAATTCAAATTTTGCTACAAACACGAGAGTTTGTTTAGGATTACAATGTACCCAGTAATAGTTCCAGGTTCAAACAGATATGTTTTGGCAGCGTAAATGCCAATGTATTCTTTCATCCGACGGTTCACTAGAACATCGCTATAAAATGACAAAGTAGAGAATCGAATAATTTGATGGTTGGGAATTAAAGAAAGGTATTGGATAAAATCCATAGATATTGGATAAAATCCATGATATAGATTAGAAAACATCTAGATTACAAGCTGCACCTATTGTTCTAACTGGTGTAGCGATAAAATGCTCGTCAATGTATTAGTTATCAAGGAAATATTAAAACATAGTGCTACAAAATGGTTAGAGCATATATAGTCTGGAAGCACACCATATTTGCTGACATATCCAGGTCACAAAAACAAAGATGTTATAAATCAACAAGGTTGTGTATAAAACATACGGAAAGTAGCAGCACCATTAATTGATTACTTCTACTCGTTATATTTACGACGACATTACTTTAATGAAGCTCAATTCCCAAGTGTAGGACATGCTCTAATTTAAAGCAACTTTCAGTATGTAAATCGGAAATATATATATACTCGGAAAGTGTCTTGTAATGAAACTAGCATCCATAGTGTGTTAGGAAGTTTGATTACATAACATAGATGTCAATAAAAGCGTTGGTTACATCATGCCTGGAACCTCCGATTTTAGGTATTTACTTTAGCATTACACGTGAAGTAACATTATTATTTGATATTGCTGGTCTTTATTTATTTAAATTGGTTGTCAAAATGCAAACTGCTTTAAAAGTTTACTTTAAAATTTAAGAGAATTAACCCACGACCCCTCAGAGATGACTGGAAATAAATAATTGATTTGATTATTTGATTAAACCGGCTTTGCCTGTGCTATCCTAGTTGAAAATAATTAGGCAAAACGAAAAATCAAACATTTTAAAAATTGTATATCCACAATGGTAAAGTAATTATAATGCAATATAGTAATTTTAACAATAGGCATTTGCGAGTATATTGAAGATGGCAGATAGTTCAACAGTCAGTTAGTTATATTTAGTCTCATTCCGCAAAATGATCAGTTAGTGTAGCAATTATTGTATTTTCAGTATTTTGACTGAATCACAATTTGGATTGTTTAAAAGATATTTRCAAATCTTTTAAAATAGTCTATTGATACTCAAAATGCAACAGAAAGCACTGATAGAAATGAAATCCATCAAAAGTGCCAAATGGGCAAAATTTTAMGCGAARTAAACAGAATTGRGATTTAGTCAAGCTGCTATAAATACGAGGAATTTMATTTCAATAATTAACACTTCRTGTAACTTCAGTAGTTTTCTAATTAAAATAGMGTCGCTGCGAGAATAAATGTTTGATGGCATCAAAGCTTGGAAATTCAACGCAARCAGTAGAAACTAATGATCCAAACCGTTTTGTTCGAGATTTCATGTCATATCTTGATCCTCCCTGCATTGCCACTCATGGTGTCTAAAGGTCGAGATGCAATTAGACGAGAAGGAGAGAAAAACCACATCAGAAACGATGTTATTCGAAAATTAGCTTTTTATTTGTGTCTAATCGATATTGGTTTTAGCTAATTAAATTTCGTGTCCTGGTCAGGTAACAGATATGCATAGTGTAAGAGTTTACAGGGGCTAGAAAAGCAATTCTAAAGCAACAAATTCATCGCCGAAATACAGAGGGTTAAAAAAACATTTATTAGTATTTCAGCTAGTACTTTTTCAGATACTCTCAGTGACGCACAATACCATAAACTCTGTAAAGGCGCAATTTTTTAGGAAATGTTACTTTAAAGTAAAATATCTGGAAAACGGTTGTTCGTAACGACTTTTGAGAGGACTATGTTCTTTATAYAAAAGTGGTAGGAGAATTGATTTTCATGCTTAAAATTGTGATACAGGCATGCACGAAAAAGTTACGACTTTTCTAGAGAAAAAAATCATGTAGATAACTTCCTTTACAAGTAAGAGGAAATTCAAGATCAAATGTAGGTTTTCCATGTTACAAAAGCCCCAAAGACCAAGATTCGTTGAAATACCAAAGTTGCATGCAAAATTATATAGATAGAACAATAATCAAAATTAACTTTTTTATCTTAGAAATACCCCAAGAATCGCCTTATGAAATATAAAACACCTGTTCAAAAACACTAGGTATATGCATGTACAGAGTGTCAGGTCGAAGCATTTCTTGGTGAAACTTATAGTACAAGTTATTTAGAATTTTATTTCTTGATGAGTTAATTTTCTGAACATACTTTGTTTTTAATATAGTGGGTGTTAAAATTATCATCCCCAAAATGAAGGAAATATTACGGAAACAGCTTGGAACCTTTGAAGGTCCATATTTGGGAGCAATTCCCAATAAATATTCGTCGGTCAATATGTTGATTTTTTGATAAAATCTTTAATGTCAATTTTTATGTTTTTAAGTTAAAAAGTGGTTTGAAACAGATGCATAATTTTTAATACATATCCGTTTAGTAGCGACTAGCCGCTAGTGTTTTGATTATCGATGGTTGGTTAAAAAGCGGCTCTTTTAAAAGACCGTATAAGGAAACTTTGGCCGAAGCTGATGAGACGGAACAGCATCCAAGTACTTCTCAGGAGTCAGGAACTCAATTTAAGGCAGGAAATTCGATGCCCAAAAATATTGGTAAATTTCGTGGGAAGCTACGAAATTATTATGAAGAATATTTGCAATTTGGATGTATTGAAAATACCGCCAACGACGAGTTAAGACCACAATCTGTTTTATGTTTTGATGTACTTTCAAATGAAAGTATGAGACCGGCAAAACTTCAAATCTATCAATTTTTTCGAATGTATGCCAAGGCTTAAAGTAGCAACAACACTACACATGTAAGTAAATATATTTAAGTATCTGAACAAAGAATTCTAGTGATTGTTTTTTAAATTAATGAAATTTTTTTTAACTATCTGTTATTTTAGAAAAACTGATGATGGTGGAAAAATACACCGAAACGTATTTTAATTGATAAATAAAGACAATAAATGACTGAAACCCAGGAATTAATTTTGATTTGGAACTGTTCCCAGTATCAGGAAAATGAGTCTTCTCCTCTTCTGTTGTTGTATATCCTCCCTGTTATTTTTTCAAGGAGGCCACTTTTTACTGTGGTTCTTCTGAGAGTCCCTATGAAGTCTAGTATCCTCGATATCCTTGCATTCTTTCCTGCATGAAGCCCTTTGTGCTTTTTTATGGCGTTGCCATACGTCGTTAGGGATGTTTGGTATTCACCCCAGAAGATTTTGTTTCGTCTAGCCTTATTGAATAGCTTTCTCACCGTTTTCCTGATCGTTGAGGGCCCCGAGCTCCTCCATTTGGATGTCCTCGTTTGCCTCTTCGACTTCAGAGGGCATGCGGATTCGTATGCTGATTTTATTGCTGATGTGACGGTAGTCATCATCATTTTTAACTCCAGCATCGTAGGTGCTTCTCTTGGGCAGTCTCCCAAATACAACCTAAGGTTCTCTTTATAGGAGACCCAGTCAGGTGTTTTCGGATTTCTTTATTCGGAGAGGGGTACCTCTTCCGACTCGATATTGAATCGTATGTATCTATGATCGGACAAGCTGGGCATATCCGACACATGCCAATCACTATCAGTTCGCTAGTGCGGTCTGAGCAGATTGTAATATCAATGACCTCCCTTCGTACCGTTGCTACCAAAGTTGGTTCATTCCCCTAATTACAGACTTCAAAGATAAAGTCGTAAGGTATTCTAAAAGAGACTCGCCCCGTCTATTGGTTAATTGGTGGGTTGGTATCATTGCTGCCCGACAAAATGTGGTGCGCATTTGCGTCACACCCAATGACAGTTCTGGTCTTAGACGCCTTACAGTACTCCAGAAAATTACTAAATTCACTTGGAGGCGGTTTGTCCTATTTGGTCGTATTGCAGGTATGCAGATGCTAGAAGTATGCTCCGATCTCCGCCCTTCGACTTGAGTCTTATTCTTATACCCCGTAAGGTCTATACTGCAATGTTCCCATAATGGTTTAGCTCGGGATAGCAACGGGTATTTACATAATGTTAATAAGGCAGATGACCTTGAAAACAATCGTTGTCTGTCTTCTAGTATAGCTTTTTGTAAATTTATCAGTTTTTAATGACAATTAATTTTTTTAACTGTTTTTAACACCGCCATGCGGAATGACGCCAATTTT